CATATATATATATATATATATATATATATATATATATATATATATATATATATATAAGTATATGTATATGTATGTATATATATAGATTTCTTTTTATATTCAAATACCTATATTATATGTATATATATAGTATTTATATAGGCGATTACAGTAGTCACAAAGTTAGGCAGACTTGATTCGTACTGGACATCGAAAGGCTGATCTCGTATCGTAGAAAAAGGTATCGGCGGGGAACAGAGTGCTGTCTTTCAGCATCGTTCTCATCTCGTCAGAAGAAGCATAAATAATAGCCGCGACTTTCTCGACGAAAGTGCATCAACGCCCTTTGAAGAAACTGGAAAAGCGGTCGTTCACGGTTGCTACTTCGGTCACGACCTGTTTCCGTGATTCCTACGGGAATTGAAGCTTTCAGAGGATTAGAAGGTGTCATTCCGTTCCAATCGAAATCCATCTAGAGCTTCGTGAAATATCACCGACGACAAATGCAGTCTTGCTAGCGAAAGGAATAGAGCGACAGCTTAGATAGAAACCGCGATGCTAACGATCACTATGGCAATCGCTAGCCGACAGGATCGCGTCGAGATTCGGTAGAAAACGCGTTTACGGTGTGCTTAGCCATTTAGAAAGGAAGAACCTTTCGTCTACAGGTTTAGATGATTGCATTCGTTCACCTGGATTGTCCATGCGATTAACATCGGACGAGGACACCTTCGAGGACAGCTCGTTGACGTGACAGAGGTTACTCGTCAGCGATTCGACTCGGGAGCCATCATCGAGGGTACCCTCGTGCCTGATGTACCCTTAAAGAAACGTTAGGATATGTTTGTAGGCCGATCAGATTTTGTGTTCGTCGAACAATCTGCTAGCTTATGTCTTTTATCCCTTTAGGCCTTCGTTTCTTATTATTCGTTATTTCCGTTATATTTTCGTTAGTTTTCCTAGATTTCTTATAGACCAAGGAATCACAGGAGATTGGCCTATAGGCTGCCAAGAATAGTTACCTCCTTTCTGCTTTCAAAAGAGCGAAATTCGAGCTTCTCGAGAGGATGGTAAGTCGATAAAGGACATTACAAGTTTAGTTATCGAGATTGATCGTTATCGAGGACTAGATAACAGAGATCCTTCGGACAAGTGTGCCGGAGGATTCAGAAACGACCTCTGAGAGAAATGAAGAGCACGTGAGGTTAGATCAAAGATATCTGCTGGTGCCTTTACGACAGAACTTTAGATTTACGCGGAATAATCACCTCTTCTCTCTGTCTTCTCTCTTTCGAAACGGTTCTCCGTTTATCGCTGGGAGAAGGTCATCATCCAAGATAATAGTAACTCGTAATGCTTAGGTCTTGACAGATTTTAACCTTTATCGCTTATAGGGTTGTTTCAATGGTCCATACCTTCGTTTATTGCTCTGTGAGGTTTCATTGGGGTAAATCAAACGAAATTCTAGAAGCTTCGTGCACCTCCGAACTACCATTACTGCCTAAGCTGCTAGCTCGATGGAAACTTTGGACGATAACTCTGCAATGAGAGATCAGATCCAAGCGCAAGTAAATATAATTCTGATCGG